CGAAGGCGGTTATACCGGCTATACAGATACAGAAATTAGTGAAGACAAATTTTTGGAAGTCCAAAAGGAAACAAAAGATATTAAGCAATTCAAGACAAGGTTGATGCAAATTAGTGAAGAAGCTCCTGTTGTTTCAAAACAGGAGCTTATTATATAATAAGTGTTGTCTGTCCTTGGGGCCAAAAGCATCAAATCCCAAGTGCCAATTTTTCCTGCTGCAAAATTGCAGATTGTATAAATTTTTCTTCTGCAATCTTGAAAACCTATCTGCAGATTGCAGACTGCAGACAGGTATTTCGAACACTGTTTAGGTTTCACCTTGCTTCCTCATCTTGACACATTACAACAGCTAGAGAAAGTGTTATGTTTATTTTATTACACTGAACAAGGTAAAAATTTCTCCTTCATATTATGCCCTAGATTTGGGGCCTCGTGTCCTGAGTTACAATTTACTTGTACATACAATGTCCTTCCAATTCAATACTGAGTTACAGTAACACAACCAAGCTCAAGATCTCGGTTTCCGCCCTTAATGTACTGCCAAGGTTGTGATAGCAATAAAACAATAGACTTTGTTTTCCCACTTATCCTCTTACAGCTGCAGCCTGGGATGTATCCCAGTTATAGGAACACCCCAGGTGCCACTGAGCTTGAAATCTTAAATAACTGCATTGGGCAATGTTACAGGTTCAGCTCAGTACAACACCTACAGGCAAATGCATATATAAGATCTACAGTATTTTACTTCATTCAAGTTCATTGCTTTATTGGTTTTAATCAAATTAAGTGTGTGTATACAAATGTAAGCAACAAAGATGTATCCGGCTTCAACAAAAAGGAAGATATCCCTAGTTTTTTCATGGCTGTATTAAGAGGATTATCAAAATGTCAAAACATCATTGACTAGACCAAAATTCAAGTTTAATGCTTGTAACTTAATTTGTTACGTGCTGTAAGTAATTGTGACAGGTGTATTACGAAGTTGTTGTATAAATGCTATGCATTTTACACAGTGTATAATTCCTTCAGTTTGAGTGAATAGGACAGTGAGACCCATAACTGAATGTCATATATAGCTCATGACGTGGTGTGTTTTGGGTGTAGATGGGCAAGTTGTAAATAATTGCTATTCCAGCCAAGGGGATAAGACGCAGCTGTGACACATCTAAGGT